CCTCGGAGAAAGAAGGCCGAGTGATTCCGATATGGGGCTTGAACTCAAGACCTCGTATTGGTTGTGAATTCCACCGCCTACCGGTTGAGCAACTCAAGTGAATTCGGTGCGTACGACAAAAATGGCCCTCGAGCGGATTCGAACCTTGCACCTCCGTTTTTCGAACCAGACCTCAGAGATAACATGTCAATCTGTAAGGGACGTGGGCTTGATCCAGTGATAGCAATGATTACTTTGACAGTGTGGTAGAACTAAGATCAGTAACACGATGATCACTAGTGTTGGATGAAGCGATAAGTTTTATTTACAAGAAACTCATTCCCACCAATGATTTGCCGCCAAGAGGCTCAGTGTCACCGTTTCTGCAGAAGTGCGTCGAAGGTTCAAAGGATTACATCAAGTGACTCGTTTTGGCAGCCTGCAAGCCACGTTAATCATTCAAATTTGATGATGCACCATGGATCTGCTGTTGCTTGGTGTATTGTTGACAATATATTTGTATATACAGTCAAGATTCCCAAGACTGAGGAAATATATTGAAGTGAGCCTCCAGTTAATGGGCACCATAGGTCCCGGCCGTGACAGCTTCACATATAACGCAATATCAGATGCTCGTGAATCGGATGTAGAAATCTGGGGCCAATCCGTTTGTGAGACAGTGATGCGTTTTAGAAAAGGTACGGGATGAGGGCTAGTATAGCCAGACATACTGTGTTGTTTACTGTATGCACGGTGAAGGATTAAGTACAAAAGTGACTTTGATCTTCATCGATAAACGAGAACTGGCTTTTATCATTCTGATGAATGTATTCTTCCTCGCATTACACCCGCCCACGACTTTAAAAATTCTCGACATTAACACATTCTTACATGACCATTATTTTGAATAGTAAAAAAGAATAGGTTAATATGAATTTTTAAAAGAAGGCAAAATATGGAATATTTATGTACATAATACCATAATCATCAATAAGACTGATAAAATACTAACCTGCAATTATCATGGCCAAAAGACGATCGTGCTTTCCGTGCGCTATAAATGGAATCGGATTATCATGAGGGGTCGTATGATGTTCATTTCAAATGCCTGCGGTCTAATTTAACTTTCAATGCGTTTCCGATTTCTATCACCGCAATTTTTTACCCCCTAACAAAAACATAGCATGTGATTCATTCGAAATGAATATTGGCTAATACTGGAATCAACTGAATCACTAAATGAGTGTCGATGAGTTTTTTCGTTAAGGAAAAAATGTCAATTTTTTAATGAAACCAAGAGGCCAAGAAAATCACCAATGAATACTTCTTCCGGTTTCTGATTCTCGGCCAATAATCATATATATGGTTGCTTGAATTATTCATAGTTCGGGTACCACACACAGCAGGCAATAATGGTAAATCGTTTAATGACAACGCGTTGCACTGCACATACCACAGCATCTTCAAGACTGGACTTAGGGCAAATGACCCCTTGAAAGGATTTATGCCCAACAAGCGAAAAATGCCAATTTTCAACTAGCTTATCACACCGTCAAAGCAGTGTTATATTGTCAGACCAAAGCGTAGTGTCATATCAAAATGAATTGGATCATTATCATTTTGACCAGATTTTGCGTGTCAGTCTTGTGACTGCACCCAAGATTTCAGCGATAGCAACAGAAGATGCGTATTCGTTGCTTATCCGGTTTTTCATTGCCAGTATATTCAAGGACTCCATTATCAGTCGACTTAATTTTGATTGGTCTTCAAGTATGACAGAGACATTCGTCTCACTGAAAGAATGCCATCAGTAATCACATCCTGGGCAATGCCAGATCTGTCAGCCTGACCAGGTGTTCGTTTTACGGATATTCAATTTCCGGTTGGTCTTCCATGATACACGTTGTCGCAGTCCGTGCACTGTACTGTAACCATGAATCATTAAAACAACAAAGAAAACTACCCCTCATTAATTTTTGCGACCTGCTTGACTTCCTCAGTTTCTTTACCTATGTAAAGTTGCTCAACGTTTTTTTGCACACTGGCCAATTCGTCTTTACGCTGCGGCTGTTTCGTAGTTTGCCTGTAATTTAATACTGAATTGTATACACTCTGTTCTATGCTTTGGTGATGCAAAAGATTTCACGGATGACTACTCCCACGCTGGAAGGCAAAATGTGGGAATAACATAAATACCTTATGTTAATGTGTATGTTGTATTTGCCCCAAAGATATTGGTACCGAAAAAAGTTATGAGTTAGGACAAATTTTCTCGTGGCAACTCGATAACTCATTTTAAAGCATTCATAATCCGCCTATGGTTAACGAATAACTTTCTACCAATTACGATTACCAGAGTAAACCATTAATCTAACGACGGTAATTGCTGTTCAAGCATTTGTTAACTTCTGCCAACTTCGCTTATCTCCCAGTTCATCACTGTTTGGATTGCACAGGTGAATTATTTCCAGTTCTGTCACTGACTCTTCTAACAAACCAGAAGGGCGCCCATTCACAGGATCCTCTTCTCATTCGTTTCTGAAATGTTCACGGAAAGGTCTGAAAATTCGCTTAGAAGGGTGCAAGTCCTGGTCTGTTTGGAAGAGTTCCGACAGAAACGTTGACGATGCTTTGCTTTCTGTAAAATGGTAAGAAGGAAAGCCAGGCACTGGTGATTTCCATGGTGACCAACAGAACTTGTCAGTGGTCTCTTCCCTCAAACGTGGAAGGTGAAATAACTCTGGCCTAGTGTTTCTCGACGCCAAAATAATTAACTTTCTTAACTAGTTTAAAACTAAAATTAATTGACTCACATTATCGTTTAAATAATTAACAGTTCGTAATTGCGACATTAATAGACAGAGTTCAAAAGTTCTGCAGTAATGAATTTCAAGTAAACCATATTCAATTAGCCTCATTTAACGACAGTAAATATTTGCAGAAATTTGTCTGTAATACCATAAACCCTTGAATAACGTACTGGCGCACTGCATTGAATTTATTTCTAAAGATCAATCTGTCCTCTTCAAGTGATCAGCAATTAAGGATCCAGAAGAGCTAACAAAACGTACGTAACTGAACTTACATTTTAAGCAGAGACGCCGTTGTTTATTGGCGAAGTACCCGACTTCGCAAAGGCATTTCTCCATCGTGTTGAAGCACTTTGAGTGAGATGGACATTCACTGCTTCCATTGCACTGTACTCCGGTATGTGTCCAAGGAAACACTGAAATGTGAACTCTTTCATGCCTGCTATATGACATACAAATATTGCTATTCTAAGTAGACGCCCGATATTCGTCAATCGTTGACATTTCAGTAGGTTAATGAAACTTACTACAATCGTGTGTAAGGCGTTGAATCTTACGTTATGATAATTGTAAGTGGACAGAGGCAATTTTTGGAAGAATAACATGAAATAACATTACCTTCAAAGCAATGGGTTTAAAAGTATCTGTTCATTACGGGGTGTAAGCAGCCTTTGATTTGCATGACAAAGTATGATCTTTGACTCAAAATTCAAATCATTCAAATGATTCAAAATGATTCACGTTCAAATCATATCATATCATATCATTCATGAGACTTCTTCATAATGTCGCTTCCCTTGTCTACCTTTAGATTTGTTCTCGTCACAATATCTTCAAAGTTAGTCTTAGTTGCCGGCATGGAGTACCTACGGCTGCAAAGCGACTCTTGCTCAATGTTCGTGACGACACTCACAAAATAGTCACCATCCAGCCGCAACACGCCACCCTTGACAGAAGCACGTAGGTGATGAGGCAAGTCTCAAACAACGACGATGTGGGATAATAAAATCGATAGTGCGTTTATTGATTATCGTATCCGAAAGCATCATACTTCGCCGTTATTCATATACATTGCAAGGGATCGCTTGACACCGCAAGACAACCGCGAGTACCGTTTATGACCCATTTAATTGTTGAAATTCACCAGTGTTACAACTGCATGCCTGATGCAAAAGACATTAAAGTGGTGTATGATCATGTGACAGTAACAACTTTAGGTAGTCGAGTAGTACTTACACCAATTTCTCAGCTAGTTGCGCCGGATAAATATGTGATGAGTTGTTTGTCCGAGGATGGTTGCACTTATTAAGAAAAAATCTACGACGCACGCATCTTGCCTGTGCTACTCAAAACTAACACGCTGAAGAGACAATGAGGCTGTTCAATTCAACCTCATTAAATGAGCTCCATTTGACAAACGGTTATACTACGCAGTGAATGATGCTCGTGTTCTGCGACACGGCGTTACTGAAAAATATAAGGACACAAACTGCGGTCTAACCTGAATAATCCTTCTGCAAAATCTTGTGGGTTTCTGAAGCCTCTAAAACACAAAATCAATTAATTCAAAAGTTTTCACGTTGAACAGTCGTTATTATGTTGATTACGAAAGAATTTTGCATTTTCAGGAGCAGAGTCCCTTAAGCGCTTGGTTACATATTTAAGAAAACGTTATTATAAAACAGAGTAAAAGTGCCAACAGAGTAAAATACAGAATATATTAACGTCAAACCATCTTACTGTAACTTGCAATCACTTTGGCATTGGGGCTGTTTGGATTCGTCGTAGTAACGATGTGAAAGTGTTGACTATTTATGTGAATAGCTTTATTCGTCAGCCGCAGACTGTCTCGGACATGATGGCATCTTCTGTAAACGTTGCCGTCTGCGTGGAGTTCGTACTCTTCCTCTGCATGAGTGCAAGGCAGTGAGCTGAATTCGAACAAAACATTGGTTTTGACGCCGTCTTCTGCTTCGAAGTCGTGTTTGCATGTCTGAACGAGGCTTTCGTCGTTTGGCGCCTGGATGGAAATGCTCGTTTTCCCTTGACCTATAAGGAAGTGCTTCTGGTCGAAACAGGCGCGCTCTGCAAGAGACAGATTGAAATAATATTTCGCATCGTAAAGAAACGTACTTGCTGATACTACTTTTGCAAATTCGGATACGTTGCTCATATTTTCGCAACCTTTCATGAACTTCAACGGTAAAGTGGTTTCGGACTTCTTCCATGTTACTATTAACTTCATGGCATTTTTATTTTTAGAACGATATCGTCTAGGGAGAACTGTTGTTATAGAGTGTAAACAGCAAACGAGCATTTCTGCATATTTCAATTGCTAATGTCTTTTAATCAAACTGTTAATGACTGGAAAAGTTCATTTCTCGTTAATAACTCATCCATAACCAGAAAAGGTCAAAGAACCCCTGAACCACCATGTATAATTACGTCTATATCAAATCTTTTAGCATCTATACAAAAGCCTTGAAGCTTTCTAAGTAGACATCTAAAGGCAAAATAGCAGAAATTTCAAATTCTTACATTTGTTCACTCATGATTTCAATGGGCTGCTGAAGTTCATAATCGACCTTGAGTTTAATTTTTTGATTCTTCAAAGCCAGAAGCAAAACATGCATATCCGATAGAAAGTTAGAGCAACGTTTAAGCGTAACTGGCATCGCAGTCAGTGCCACGGTGAATTCGTGATATGGCGGCAGCTCGTCGTCCCAAAACACTGCACGCGTAAACATGGCAGAAGAGGCTAGAAATAAAGCAGTTTCATGAAAATGCCATTGATACGGTTGCTTATGAAGAATTGCCGTACCTAGCAGACACACCGCGAGCAACATCTTCGTAGGCGCTAGGCAAGTCGTAAACAGACAGTCGAACCCGTGGCATCCGCGGTCAGCTTATATTGCTTGCCGTAATCGAGCGCCCCAACGTTGGCCAATCAGCTGTTGCCAACTGTACTTGGCAAGCGAACTCGTCCAGTGGCGTATCACTTACTTTCAATCAGCCAATGACTGAAGTTTAACCGTCTTCGTCAACGATATTAAAGCCCGTGCGCGGCACTGGCACAGAGGCAAAGGCGAATGTTGGTGCAGCTATTCTTTACTATGCGACAAAGATTCCAAGGCAGTAGCCGGTCTGCGTAAGTAAAAGGCTGCACCATTTATCAAAGCAAAGGTAAGGCCTAAGCAGAAGGACTCGGTTTGCATAACTAATTCAACGAACTCCATACCGGTTTTTTAAAGATGTTATTCCCTGACGACAGATTAAGCGTAAGAGGAAACATTATAAAATAATGACGTAACAATTGCACAAAAAGTGTTGTTCCACAAAGGATACTTTAAATTCTGAAACGATCCTCAATTTCAAAGAATCTGCTTGAATTCTTAACGACTGTTTCTTAAATCATTTCTTTCCTTCTCGTACAATATTAACAATCGTTTTCGTGAGATAAGCAAAATGAAACTGGATGAAGTAGTTGAAAATTTTTTCACAAACGAAATCGTGACCATTTTTCTATGAAGAAGCATTTACAGTAAAGTTACAACCGGAACGTGCGGTCTACAGTGATCTTCAGCACAGCTAGACTGGTGGATCTAGAGGAATTTTAAACTTCGTTTCGATTTCGCGCCGTATGCTTCATAAACCTTTGATGTCTACATTTCAATTTCTGATAACACATCTACCATTTCCGGTTAAGCCCACCAACATGCTTCCTCCAGTTGCCTGTGAAGGCCATTTGTGAATATTTCAGCGCCATGGCACTTGAACACCTTCAGTGCATTGGATGCTCGAAAGCATCGTTGTGTTAAGCTGAACAAACACAGAGAAAAAACATGTCGTGCACATCTTTCCCGAAGTATGTCGTGTCTTTCAGACACTGAGCTAGTCTCTAAACACGAGCGGGGACTGGGATCGTCCAGATTAGATGTGGATCACGGTTGAAATATTGGGCAGTTGGAGAAGGTTCTGGTCTGAGGCATCGGCGAAGACCGTCTACTAGCCGAACTTTACCTTTTGGCGACAGAATCTGTAGAACGAGCAGCACGTCGACTAGATAGCTACCATAACGAGCAAAGTACACATAAGATGCGCAAATGCAAACAGCGAGGCACATGTTGAAGACGGATAAAGAGCGAAACGTTGCTAGTGCAAACACAGGTCTGCTAGACCTAAGTTTACAAGGTAAATAACTCAAAATTTCTGAAAAGGCAGTTTCCACCGCGCAATGCACCAGCAATATTTTCCAGTAGCCTTACGGATCATTTATGCAGGTAACGGCTCTGTGGCATTTCCATATCTACCGTGCACATCGCTCATAAGCCATTAACACGATATGTCTGTGTCGAACAAATGTTGCGAGAGGCATCCATCATGGGCATATTATTTATGACAAGTACGGACTGATGCCCTGGGTAACTCTACTGTTAAGACCAAGCTAATCCCTTATGACAATGAAGAAGATATCTCTGTCATGCAGCAAGACGATCATACTGAATTTTACTTACGTCGAAGATCTTGCATGCACTTAGTTGAATACAAATCCTATGGCATGAATGTACAGTGGCATGATCACTAATGGAACGTCGCTTGAGGAGGGCAATTTCTGAAGGTCGTCATGTCTTCCCGGAAAGTTTTCGCTAGACATGGTCATATAATGGCTCCAACTATTTGATACCCCGCACAACCAACCAGTTTGAAAGATTCGTTATCCGCGGAAACAATGCAGCGTTAAAACATCAACGTTCTTGGGCAAGAAACTATTTGCATCCAGCCTCTAACTGGAACCACATGAAGACTAAATTCGTTTGCACACGTCAACAATAAACAAAAAAATTATCTTTTGCTCTAAGCAGTGATGAGGTGATCTTTGTTTGTTTCACCTCATTGACAGAGTTTCCATAATTTCTCCTTTTCCTAAGTTGTCCACGACGTGTCGTCAAAAGTTTCCACGCGATTTGCTCACAATTCATCAATTTCCATTCCTTGGGCACACAGCAAAAAGAGAATTTTTCGCTTCTCTATTTTTCGACATAACATGAGACATTATTTTAATGTATTCCATGAACAAGAGGGTCGTTTCGTTAGCCAGAACGGCTTGATAGATTTTTTAAAGAACAAGACGATTACATACCATCGGAACAAGGTGAAAATTTGTTGAGGTACACATCAATGTTCGATGAAAGAATGTAAGTCATTCTTACTCCTCCTTTATCGTTTCTACATCTCATGGTGTGGCATTTGTCTCCGTTGATGCGTCATTCTCCACAGATTGAATATGCCATTTAGAGGTTTTGACTATATCTAATTAATTACTGCGACATGTGATTTCCTTCGACATTCAAGCAAACTTGTTGTAATCGATCTGAATTTCCTGTAAAGTTGGTTTTGAATGCTGGGTAAGCGTTAACGGAACAACTTGATTAATTTCTCAGCATATCGCCTGCACAAAGATTTATTTTCTCAAGACCAATATGAGCTAATAAAACATGTTGCAATAACAAGAAACAAGTTAAGATTGCTTTGATAAGTAGAAACCACAGTTCAGATCTTAAACCACGGTTGCAAACACTCCCTGACACTGCTGTATCTGCTATCCGTATGGATACGCATCCTTCAAAACCCCCTCACTGTTACAGGATATTCAATAAGGGCAACTGGAGATTCTCAGTTAACTAACTGCAGACAGTTCTCAGGCTTGCTCATGGACCTTGGCATATAGTTTCGGATCAGTTTTGATAAGTCCATCACTTTTCGATATGTCATTAGCATATATAGAGTTACGAACGAACAAATTACAGGTAAGGGATGGTCATAATTCGAAGCTTGACATCATGCTCTACGCTTTTGGAGACACATCGTCATCTTGTGCAGATATTATTGAAAAAACGTTCTTTAATCGATTCAATGTTACAGTGAAGAACGGTTTGATACAGAAAACACTTTTTATATTTTAAAAGTCTTAATAAATGAGCATCAACTAGCCATTGCCAAAAATCATTAAAAATCTCCATTCGGTCGCTCACGGTTAAAACAAGGTCACAACTTCGAAGAAGAAAACCTTTCACACTCTGATCAGAGAAAAGGACATATATTCTTCGATTTAAATTGAGTGGTCAGAATCACTGTTGATTCCAACACCTGATGAGTTCTGCAATATGCGTTTGGTTTGAAGCATTTTCGCTCTAAAGTCGGATCAAGTACGACTCGACACGATATGAACATGAGTTTAAGAAATTTCGACAGATCCCAAATGGTTTGTGAAATGGCGAACTTTTACCTCTATGAATAATCTTGTTTTGCTCTTGAATTGGTTCATAATTGCCGTTGCTTTTAATTGTGCCTCGTTTTTATTTTCATTATTTTTATGCTTACGAGAAAATGTATGCAATTTTCTTAAAGCCGTTCATCGTTTTCCATTGTTTCTTCCATCCAGCTTATTTCTGTTATCGAGCATTTCACATTCATTCAATGACAAAGCAAACCTCGGCAAGAATCTAAATCTTTGCAAGGCTTCCAATTTGTCATAGTAACTTCGCATTCTGAGCTATGCACAGCAAACGTCATTATCGAACCAAAGTGATTCTTAGGAAACTGCTCAAAGATTCTGTGTTTATCTCTGGAATTATACGCATACCTACACTAGAAGTAAATTCGATTGCTGAATTTTGATGTAAATCATAGCTGGCCAGTGCTGGACATTGTAATTTCTCAGCTGCGTATTTTTTGACACCTAGCCAATCTTGTGACGTATG